GTCAACGCGGGTGAGGAGCCGTGTTAAAAAAATCCCGCTCCCACTGAACCGCGAGGCCATTAGCTGTGAGGCAAGAGCGGCCTGGGCTGGCTGGGCAGGAGGTGGGATCGTCATGGGCCTTCCTGGCTCTTGGCCCCGCGGATCTGAATCAGCAGCCGGGCTGGAGCTCCAGGCCGGCCCGTGCAAACAGGTTTGGGTTGGGTCGGTGCTTTGGTGCGAGATTCACCAGGCTGCAGAGCGGCGCTTGCACCGGGGCGCAGGGGAGATGTCCTTGTCCCCAGCTGGACATGGTGGCACTGGCTCTGGCTGTGTAACACGGGACACGACCCTTGCAGCTGGGAGCATTTTGCACAGCGCGATTCCTGTTCCTTCCACGGCTGGGGATGGCTGCCTGCTGCAGCCCGGGTGGCAATTAAAGGAGTGGGTGGAACGATCGCCTCATTTTCTCCCTCCTTGCATCACCGGGGAGTTTAACCAGCAGGGATGCCTGTAACCTGGGATCTTCAGGAGCATTGCAGAGGTGGGAATGGGAATGTGGATGCGCTCGGCATGAAAAATCTCGCTGGGGTTAGGGAACAGGATCAGAGGCATCATTTGAGCCATCAAGTGGTTTGGCCATCTCCTCTTTGGAGTCAGGACTCAGTTGCCTCTCATGGGCACCTTTATGTTTGTTTCGCAGCCTCTACGTGTCTGCTGGAGTTGTTCCTTTTGCCTGCAACTCCTCCTGTCTGCCTGAGCTGCTCCTCATCGGATCAAACTGACTCCTTGCCGGATAAGTGTATCTGGGAGATCAGAGGTAGCTGTAATTGCTGGCCCGAGGCAGAGGTAATCATCACAGGCGAAGGCTGAGCAGAATGTCCCAGCAGAGCTCAAGTGTTCCCAGAAATTCCTGCAAGGGTGGTAGATTTTTAGCATTCCTCAAAGGCCGTTCCACATTTCTAGGATGTTGTAGGTAAATCTGTGGATCTGGAAGGACAGAAGGGAAGGAGAGAAGCCGGGACAGACCTCACTGAACGGGCTGGTGCTCAAAAGTCATCTTTGGTGACTGAAGGAGAGAGCTGGAGACCATCCCCAGCCACTGCAGAGCACCTTCCCTCGTGCACACAGAACACGCTCCTCCTCTCCATCCTTCTCCAGATCGCAGCCCTGCAGTTCCCGGGAGCATCTCCTGCATGTTCGCAGGCATCGTCGCTCCCTCCCAGCTCAGACCGAGTGCTGGATTTGGCCCATCTCCGCTGGACTCCCCCTTGCCCTCGGGCTTGTGCCACTCATCTCCTTCCAGCCTGGAAAGTCACAGCTGTGCCGAACCCGCATTTGGCATTCCCGGCGTTCACCTGCTTACAATGTCCTGCCCTCTTTATCTTCCAGCACTGCCGTACGGTCTGGGAGCACGGCCTTAGCGGAGGCTGCCGGGAGGGAGCGATCGATCCCCGCTCGCCCAGAAGGCCCCTAACAAAGGCAGGGATTGAACCTCAGCCGCCGGAGCTGCCAGGCGGCATGGGACACGTTTCCCAGCCGCTTTGTGCGTGGCTCACAAAGGAGATCACAGCACGAACCTGCCGCACGGTGGAAGCGGCTCGTTTACATTTGTTAGATTTCTCGAGGTGGGCGCATAGAGAACACAAGAGAAGGACAGCGTCGCATTATTGACTTTTTCCCAGCCTTTTGTGTACCAGGAAGGTGCGGAAGGCTTCTCCCATCAGAGCCAGCCATTCCTGCAGCCTGCCGGGCACCGCAGCTCCGAGGACTCTCCCGAACAGCAGCGCTCGGCTCCGGAGCCTGCGACACGGAGCCTCGGAGCAGCAGGAGCCAAATAAACCCAGTGCCTGAGGAATCCATCGCCTACAAACTCAGCCTTCGGGGAGCAGGAACCAAAGGGACGAGTAAATAAAGACTTAGCTTCGCACGACGCTATTTAAGTGCAGACTATGCTGATAATCAGTTATTATAGACTGATTTTAAATACATATTTTTCTGTCACACAAGCAGCCACCACCCTGCCCCCTGCGCTAGTGGCGCGCGCAGCTCCCTCCTCCCGCAGCTTTACGCACAAAGACGCCAGCATTTTGCCGCTTGGACTCGCCAGCGGTGCACGGAGGCAGCCTGTTTCCTCAGGCGGGTTCGCGCCCGCGGGTCGCGCGTGGGCCGCCCCGCGCGCGCGCGCGGCGC